TCTACTGTCGGACATATTCCAATAGAATTGAGCCGATATATTTGGCACGCACTGCAGAGAGAAGCTGTCATTAAAGGAGAGGTCACAGCGATAAAATATAAGCCATCTCCACTTGTTCAAGGTGGATTAGAAATACCTATTGCGGTGACTGTGAAATGGGATGACAAAAATGCGATAGACATTTTGCGCAAGAAAGTTGAAGAAGTGAGTTATCCCTTTGGAGAAGACGATCGGTACACTGATAAATCTAAGGACATTTTGAACTTACTAAATGACGATGAGTCAACCGACTCTGACAGTGACGTAGAGGAATTGTAGCTTTGTTTATAATAAAGGTGTCTTTAAATAATGATGCTTTTAATTAACCTCATTTTAATTAACAATGAGGTAAATTAAGATACATAAAATAAACGCAAATTTTTGAAATTCACGTTAATTACATGCATAGTTAATTTCCTATAATAAAGGTAAAGGTCAAAGGTAAAGGTCTCTATTTCTCTAAACAACATACATGTTTAGTTACAATTTTAAGGTTGAAATCAGACAGGCGCCTCTGGCAGCCATGTTTAGTCCATAGCGATTTCACCTACCCACACAACCCACCCCAAGTAGGACATCCATCACACAGTAATCTCATGCGTGGGAAATTAACGTCTCCTATCCCAACCCTGCAGGAGACAGGACCTCCATTTATTCGTCCCTATCCAAGAAAACTAGAATATCTAACCATTTCTTGATGTTAAAGAAAGGAAGCATATTCTTCTCAATAAATTTTAAGACCCTGAGTGTTGGTCCGGCCGGTATTGAACTCTCGACCTCCCGCGCAGCAGTCCGGCGCTCTCCCAATTGAGCTAACCAGGCGGCGGTTAATGAGGTAGTCTGTGGTCTCTACTCTTCAAGCGCCTCACTTGTGGTGCTACCGCGGCGCCTTAACGTCACTTCAATAGTTCCCCAGGGAAGGAGGGGGCGGGACGTTAACACTTAGAATTGATCAACGCATATCACCAATTTTATCTCGTGGAACTCTTTTGAATTCTTGATTTTGGGATATCAAGAATTAACTATTTATATACCTACAGTATCCTGATTACGCAGCGAAAAAACAGAAAATCCATTGCTTTTACATTACCTGGTGATTCACTCTGTCTATAGGTTATTACACGTTGCACAAGATCGAGCCTATTGACGTCCGTTAAAAGTTTCTGAAGGTTGTCTAAGTTGTCCTCCCCTAAGAGACCCTGTTGCATCATTTTTGTAAATAAGTCTCTTGGTTTTCTACACTCCTCCAGATATCCTGCTGGAATTGATCCCCTCAGAAGAAATTTCAAACCTTCAAACTGGTCTTGCTCGATTTCTTGGGACAGTCGCTCCAAGAATCTCCGAAACCTGTTCAGAATGATCCCTCCGCTCACAACAACCCGAGAATCGCCATGAGCCATGAGTGCAAGCCATCAACCAAGTAAAACCGCCTGAATGTTGCATTCATTTAGTTTCAAGTTTATGTCATGCTGCAAATTCACGAGACAACCGAACTTCTATTGCCCTTCGCAGAAGGATACGTACTTTGCCTGACAACGCTAAAACAAGGTCTGCTACACTATGTTTGCCATACATGATACACATTCTAAACCTTGTACCCAGGGTCCTTGTCCAAAAATTACCCCGTCCATCCCCCGCCCCTCTTTCGCCCTCCACGTCCGGCCACTTCCTTCATCTCGTGTTTGAGGTGCTTCCTCAGCCAAAATGTTTCAATCAGGTCTATGAATTCATGTGGGCTTAGAGAGCCAAGAAAAGTAAGCTGACTGGTATCAAAGGTTTCTGGAAACTGTCATTTTGAGAGTTGTTCCTTTGGGTTCTACAATTCACATTCATACTCAGAATGTCATAATTGGTCATAATTCTACTATTTACTGGCAAAAAAATTCAGACATGCTCTTTACCTGAGATATGTTGTGCAAAATTTTTTCCTGGGCATGTTCATGCACGCACAAGTAGTTTTCTCTCTCTATTTCATATGCTCAGCATCCTTTGGGCTTGTTTACATTTTCCATGAAATATAGAGAAGAAAAAACTAAGCAAGAAATTACTTAGGGTTAAAGTCGAAAATTGGGCAATTATTGTGGCCGATTGTGGCTAGATTTAAGAAGTTCTCTGGCCAAGAGACACCAATTTTGTTTACTATTAATATTGATATGTTGTAAATTTTTTTCCTCCTACCTCACCTGGGTTTCTAAAGTCACCCATTTGTGTAAGATGTATGTACTCAGATCAGCCGTGGTACATTGCTTGCTGGGAACAGGTACACAAGTCACCCAGTGCAGAAGTCAGTAGGTTAATTGTTAACATGTTGAGCCACCCAATCATAGAAGAAACGATCACTAACTACTATATTGGTTGATGTAAACACTTAGAAAATGTTTAATAAAAGGCATTCTTGCAAATCCAGGGCTTTTTTTAATCCCCCTCCAGAGTGGGGCTTCCATGCTAAAAAGGTTACTCATGCTTTCCCTAGTTACTGGACTAAAGGTGAGCTCAAGTCTGCATCAAATAAGACAATGTGCATAATCATGTTAGCAAGTATCATCAGCTGGCAACTCACTGTAATGGAAATCAACAGAAATGTATGCAAACCCAACAAGATAAAAGCAACTGGACACCATTGGCTATCTTAACATGGCTTTTAATTAGGAATAATCACTCTGAATTAAGAATAAAACGTTCTCAGTAGATTCAATCATATTTAATGTACACAAGTTGAGCTACCCTCACTTCTGTTATCATCCTTAGTGTTGTCAAAACATACTTCCTCCTGGTTTGGATTCAGCCATTACCGTACTATCTGTTTCACTAAGACCTACCGGTAGCTCTTCTGCTGACTGCTTTACCAGTCAATAATTAAACTGAAACGCCACAATTTGATCTATATTTACAAAGTAATGGCAACAATGGGGGCTCTTAGAGCAAGCACTACAATAAATGTGATGATAGCAACAATGCAGAAAGAGGGAGGGGATTGGAGAGAATTTGAGCACAGTAGGTAGCCTTTGACAACACATCCCACAATTTTGTTGATGAATGGAAACTATGATTAGTGCAGTATGGCAACATCAAAAAATGTTCTTAACAGAGTAAGTTTCACACACTACTTAAGGTGGCTCGTACCAGTTTTCATCTTTTTCATGGTTTGTAACTTTGAAAGAATACAACTGTTACAGAAAGACTGACCAAGGCCAGTTGAACACTTTTACAGGTTTGAATAATAAAATCATTGGTTATCCAAAAATAGGTGTCATTTCATCACTAGCAGTTTCCATAGCAATGCTTTCATGGGCTTATTCAGATGCATTTTTTAGCTTGTGGCTTAAATAATTCAAAAACTAACCCGGTGACCCCGTGACTTTTTTCAGTGATTGCTTTTGGCACTTGAAAAGGGAAAATGCACAAAGATTTTTAAAAAATTCTACGTAGCAGAATTTCAGAAAATCTAGGAAAAAGGCAATTTTCACACATCGCAAATTTCCTTCCATATAATTTTTTTTTCTGATTCCTTTCGATGTTATTATCATATTGGAACAATAAAAAGAAAGGGTCACCAGATTTGTTTTCATGCAATAGCTTTCGTGAGTTTAGCAATTTCCACACGCGTTCTCGCACATTTAAAAATCTGGATTCTATGAGATCGACATTTGCTCATGATCTGTTGTAGCTACCGCTGATAATTGCGTGTGCTCGCGTGAGCACCTACGATCTGATGTTTTCTGATGTTTACTGCTAAGAAAATCATTAAACAGCTGTCAAAGACAGCCTCCCGAGCTCATCTTAAAAATCCTACACACAATTTCTGGCTATATCATATTATTTTCCTTTAAGATTCAAAGTCTTCTTCCACTTCAGGTAGATTATCCTTCACTTGAGTTCTTTTTTCGCCGTTGCAAGATTTCATATCGGTTGATTCTTTCTTTTAGCTGTGAAGTAAAGCAACCTTTACTTCTCCGAAAATTGTCTTTTTATCTTAGTTTCTATCTCCTGCATTCACAGTGGCTGCTCAACACATTAAATACACACTCTTAGGTGAACTTCTCACAAAAGTAGAAGAAAATCCTTGTGCCACCATCTTTGTTGTAAATTTTCGTCTTTTAATCTCACACTTCTTTCGCACATTTTTCTCGCGCTTGACGCAAGAGTTAACTTTTCCCCAAGCGAGGAAACTAGTACGAACCACCTTAAGAATTTCTTCATTGTGGCCAGTCACAGACACTGATTGATATTTCTGGGTATTCACTCAACCCCTTCACTTTCAATATGTCAATGAAAAATCTCTTTACTGTATGTCATACATTTACTACAAAGTTTGTTTTGAGAATTTGGTATTGCATCAAATGATAACCATCAGTTATTATTTTTTATAATCCATTGCTTAGTCACTTGAAATTGTATTGAAACTGTAAGGAGAAATGATGCCTTGGTCACTCCTGGGAGTAAAAGGGATAGAGAAAGACAAATTCACAAGTGCCATTATTCTGCACACAGCTAAAATTGCAGTAATTTTCTTGACAATCACTGGTACTTATGAAATCATATCAGCTAATTATAAACTAAGGTATACCAGTACTTAACATCCAATTCCTAATTTTGGTTGTTAATATACATGTAATAATAATACAATCAATGTCTGTCTTGCTATCTCAAGGTTTCTTTCAGACAAATCATCATGCAGCGTTTTGTTAACAATGTTCCTTTCTGCACCTGCTACAAGCTTAGTTATGGCATGCACTCCAACAGTGCTTAAAAAATAAATTATTAAAATTGTGGGGTATGCCAGCAAGTACATTTTTACCCGTCTCTCAAAATTTAAAACAATGTAAATTACATAATATTTCGTATTCACAGTGTGACAACTGATGATTAGTGACTATTTGCGATATAACAGGTAAAAGCCAAGAGCACAAATACAGCTGAAGACAAAGTAAACCTCCAAATCATGCCTCTGTCTCAAAGCCTTGAAGTAATCAACCACAGATTCCTGCAAAAAGCAAAGAGCCATTTGATAAGAGTACAGAAGATACAGTACTTGATATGGTGTGGAGAAAACAATGAGCTTTACACCCATTCTGAGTGAGAGAACTGAGATTTTAAAAATCAAAGCTGGGCAAGATTTATGAAGATTTAACCCTTTACTTCCCCAGGTCTGATTGCTAAATCTTCCCTCCAACTGCAACACAATTCCTTTCAAATTAGTTATGAGGATTTGGTGTTAGACCAAGATAACTTCTACCTGATAAGTTTGAGCGTTGTCTTTACTTGTTTGCTGGACAATGCATAGAATTTGATATTAAAAGGACACATCACATGTTAATCACTTCTGGCAGTTAGGAGGGTTAAAGTTTTGTTTCATCATGGTGGAACAGCATGATACAAATCTATGTCAGGGTTATTTTTAAATATGGGGGGTAAGTTTCAAAACAAACTGCAGTGTTGAGTTTGTGGGGGAGCATAACCAAGAATTTTTTTTTTTTATTGACTGAGTTGATAATGTAAATTGGCCAGCATAAAGAGTTTCATTGCTGATGTTTTGAGCCTTAGCTCTTGGTCAGAGCAAATGATAATTAGGGCTTACAATCAAAACTTTAGCTTTGAAAATCTTCATGGTGGCCAACTTACATTTATCAACTCGGTTGATAAAATCAAAATTACCCCTTTTTTAAATAGTTGCAAGTCTAAGACATTATTTTGTGGGTGTGTAATCAATGATCTCATGTTACAATGTGCACAAGATGCCTGCAGAGTTGTTTACTATGAACTTCACAAACATTTGATGGTAACTGCTTATTACATGTAAGAGAAAAAATGCCTCACTGGATCACAAACTTTTCTTATTTGTTGTTAACTAAGAACTTGGTGGAGGCTAAGTGATTGGTAGCCATAAAAGCACTTTTCATAATAGTACACATTTATGTTGGATTTAAAAAACAAAACAAAAAAGCAACACAAAAAAAAAACAAAAAACACACAAGACTCACCCATCCTCCTTGTTCAAAAATCCACTTTGCCAAGCGGTCCTTAATAAATTCACAGACCCACCCAATGATCATTTTAATGAGTGGTATTTGCTTGATGACTTGTAGTGCTAGCTTGTAGCCAAAGTAGAAAAGAGTCACTATTCTTCCCCAGTTTACTTTTCCATCACTAAATATCTGTGCCCCGACTTGAAGAAACGTATCAAAAGCAGTATCTTTGGAGACAACTACTTGTGATATTAGACTGTTCAATGTGGTATCATTGGATAACCGATCTCCGATGTCACGAATGACATGAGCCACTTCCTTGTTTACTTTTCTTTGATTTTCACTCAGTTCCTGTGGAACAGGAAGGCCATCTGCACGGAAACACTCACTTAAAAAGGTGCTGACAATAGCAGGCGCCTGCCCTGATACTTCATCTACACTATTGGCTCTTTGATAAGATGGCCTTTGCTCATGAATACCATCCTGTTCATCATCTGACTGTCTTCTAGAGTTCCCACCAGGAGCCATAGTCATCCAATCTAAAAAAGGAGAGTGACCTTATTTTACATTCTAACAATTACTGTGGACAAGATTCGGCAAGCTACAACAAACCCCTACAGAATACAAAAAAAGAAAAAAGCTAGCTTTTTCCAGCTAGCAAGAAAAGAGAAGAGAAGAATAAATCATGCACCAAGTCTTAATGAAGTGTTGTTCTTAATGAAGTGTTGTGCTTTATAAAATAAGATAAGTTATTAACATTGCATTTAGATTATTGCATCACATATTTTCAGGAAAAATTCATAACTGGGCCAAGAATCAAGAATTCTGCAAGAACACAAACCCTTCAGAAGGCAAAATGCTTTCATCCAGACGAGTTCCTAATTCAACCACTGTATCTGATATTTAAGGTAATATTTACATATGGTATCCTTGGCCATGTTTTTATCTAAGCATTATCATTCTCAAAGTATAGGAAAGAACTGGCCTTTATAGCTAAGGTGGGACTCAAAGCAAAACTAACAACACTTGTTACCTAAATTCAGAGATCCACCAGGATCAAGCAGTCACCATGAGAATGTCACTCATGACACTAGCAATTTTCCTAACAAATTTCTTCATAATTTACCAGATACATCAATTTCATGGCTCAGTCTATACTAGCATAATGCTTAGAAATCACTGCTTCCCACAAAATAATCATATTTGAATAATTGTTCGTATAACAAATCATAAGCACAAAACAGTCACCCTTTACATGGCAAAAAAAAAAAAAAGATACATAAAATTCACAAAACAAATACCTCTGTTTAAATCACGTATGAGTTGCAAATCTTTAAAATTTTTCAGTTGTACAATGCTTGTTGCTGCTGTATCTTGAACACTGTTTATTTAACTGATTAATCAGCATTTTATTAATCATTCTGGTCTAATTTTAGATTTCATATCTCTAAAATTAGAACAAGATAATGACAGCTTTAACTCAATAATGAGTAATGGTACTTGCCCACAGTGGATTGGTAAGAGTCATTTCTATTATTTGTTAAATAATTAGTTCATCAGATGTTTCCTAAATTAGCATCAAGGTTCAAGGTTCATTTATTTCACACTATTTACGTAAAATTAACATAGATGGAGAAGTAAAATTGCAACAAATGATTACAGAATAAAATAAATAAAATACAGATTATAAAGATGTGTGTGGTGGTCAAAGTAGTGAAGGCTTTCTAGTTGGACACCACCTACTTTTAGCATCCTCCCCCAATGACCCTTGGTCCAATTTGTTACCTGTCACTACCCCACTCTATCTCAAGAAGAATGGGACTCAACAACAACTACAAAATTATAACAATAGTGGTGCCAGTTAACGAATTCAACCTTCCACGCACAATCTGTTTTGTTGTAGTTTTGAAAAGCTATCACATGGAAAGCAGCCAAGTTTTAATTCGGATCTATAACCTTTCAACTGATAAACAAATAAATTGATTATGTTCAATTTTCATAGTAGTAAATAATAATGGACACGGTCCGTATAGTATTGTCTACACAACTTTGGCGTCTCGATGAAATACACAACCAATGTTTTGAATATTTTGGCCTAACTAGTACTAATAATTGATATGTACTATACTAGAGGAAAAATTTACCCAAAGTTTGAGCATCAACACAAGTTATTTCAAACTGAATTGACATAAAATGGAACAGACATAAAACCCAGCTAAACATGGGCTTATTTATTACTACAACAAGAGAGAGCGTGTTAGATCCTCAAATCTTCCTTACGCAACTCCAACTTTCTTTCCGGCGACAACGTTAGTGGTTAGTATTTCGGCGGTTTTTTTTTTTTTACCTCAGACAACGTTGTTTTTTTCTTCCACCAGGGTAAGAAACTTAAGAGTTTAACCTACTAGTCCCTTTCAAAAATTCCAGCAAATTTCACTGTGGGAGTCGCGTGCCGTTTACAGCCGCAAAAATGTACAAATTCGCCTTGGTTTACAGCGCTAGAAGAATCGAGAAGAAAACTACAGGGAATATTCCTATCGAACCCTAAGAAAGCGTCACTCTGGAAAAAATTCTCAATCAATCCTGCAACGATCAAAATATCTTGTCACGTTTGGATCGACATAGCGATCAAGAAGATAGACAAACCCTCGGGAAGAAAAGGAATTTCCGATAATTTTTACGCATATGCTCTACTCACCAGTTAAAAGAAGTAGATATTAAGTTTTGGATCTAGGAATTTTTCGTCCGCTTGAAAAGATATTATTTTCACGTCTTCGTACACTCGAGACTCAATCCTGGCACATATTAACTGATGATATGGCCGAAAGAATCTGGCAGATCAAGCGTTCGACATTGATAGACGGTTTTTGATTGGGCACAATATAAAACGGCTTTTGTGATTCGTGAATTTTCTCTCTGTTTCAGTGATGTCATCGGATGACGCGCGCCAACTTCAAAGTTTTCCCGCAACCGCTTTTAGCGCGAAAAAATTTCGCATAAGTCTTCCGATGCTTATTTTGAATGTGTTCAGACAGATAAATCATAATTTCCAAGCACCTTAGATTAGAAAGATGAGAAAACTATGCTGTGCTAACTCAGCATTATAAGTACGGGGCTTAACCAAAATGACACAAACGAAAAAGCCATCTGGTGTTATTGAAATATGTGCCCAGACAGGTTGCCAAGCAAACAAAGCAATTAAATATTTCGAGCCATTTATTTTGTCCTAGTGATTGCACATGTTTTTCGCCGTGTGCTTTCTATTTTAAGACATGAATCAAGAAAGAAATGTTACTTCAATCAATATTTTAGTGGTCTATCATCTAGGATAAGCCATGGGGAAAAAATTTTAAACAGTTCCACCTTATTCAAAAGAAAAGAAAGTGGTTGTTTTGCATAAATCGAAATTAGAACAGGACTGAAGATAAATCGAGCATGTGTCACACGTGCTCAGCTGTTATGACGCTATGTATACCGGCAGCAGAAGGGTATTCCCCAACTTAATTATTCATAAACCAAGCAGCTCGGTTAGATCTTCGCAGAATTCAAGAGTATAATAAAGATATAATTGTTTGTTTATCTACCGACGACAATAAAAAGCAAAATAACGATGATAATGAGGACGAACACCGTTTAAAAAGCTTATTTGGGTTAATTGATTATCGGATGCTAAAAAAACTGTATGTTTTGACAACTGTCAACTCAGAAACTGTGAACCAGAAAACAGGACCGGATAGAATCATGCTAAGCAACTTAAGTGTGAAAACCACACTGGAACACTGCACTGATGCAGTTTAGATGAGACCAATCATAATCTTCAAGCGCTCTTCTTCATAGCTATGGTAAACGACATCAAAGAAAATAAACTCTAGGCAATCAAACAAAACAACAAAATCCTCGGTTGTCACTCCCTTATATAGCCGACATGATCACACTGTTCTTACTGAAAATACACGAGACCAGTACTATATGTTCCTCCTTTTCATATAAATTATTTTGTGAAAGTGTGATATGCCGGGTGTTGGTAAATTCACACTAGTGAATCAGTAAATCTAAAAAAATAGAATGTTTTTAAGAATGCATCTTGTTCTGTAGAGTCAAGCCTTCTGATTAAGGGAAGGTTATTACGAATTATCGCCTTGATAAGGTAAACAAAAAATAGAGAGAAAATCTATCAAATTTAAGAATTGGGCACTGCCCTTTTTAACGTCATTTCAGAAGTTACGGAAGTGATTTTCCCACGAAGAAAACGTTCTCCTAGAAAGCCTTAGGAAAATTACAAGTGTAGTTAAAAGAAAAAATATACATTTGAGGGAAATACGTGATGTTTACACAACTAACTGAAATGTAAACAATGCTTCGAGCTAAGAAAATAATTGATTATCTCACCTCCCCTTGGCCCTATTCTTGACCTTGAACTCGGTTAAAAATTACAAATAAAAATGTTATGATTACTTTTCAATCAATGGTGATCTGAACTTGTCACTTTACATCATCGTCAAGGTCAGGGCTAGCAGGTATTTTTCTGCTTTTTTCGCTTATTTCGAATTCAAAACTGGTGGCAACGAAAAAAAGAGAGCAACGGCAAGACTTAACAGAGGGTGTCAATGGGTTGATAGCTTCAGTACGGCTAACGGTTAAACCTTAATTCTTTTGCGGTCACCAGAAAAAAAATTTACGGTTGATTTTTGTTACAGCTAACGGTTAATTAACTTTAAGGTGTGCGAACCCCTTGGAGGAAACTCAACAGGAGGGAGCCGAAAGGGAGGAGGTGGGCTCTTTATATGATAGCAAGAAGATATGTATTACAATCTCTTGGCGACTAGTATTGCTTGAAGTGACCATGGATAAAAATCTATCATTCAGCGCACACATAAGCGCCATCTGTAAGAAAACAAGCCAGAAAGTAGGTGTGCTTATGAAGCTACGCAACCTCATACCCTACTCAGCCAAACTTCAACTCTACAAATCTGCCATTTTACCGGATCTGACATACTGCAACACTGTGTGGCATTTCTGTAAAACGGCCGATAGACGTAAGCTTGAGCGTATTCAAGAACGAGCACTGAGAGCAATTTTCAAATCTAAGGTGGACACGTATAGTACTTTACTAAACAGAGCCTCTTTATCAACACTATATGAAAGAAGATTACAGAGTAAAGCTACACTCATGTTTAAAGTTAAAAACGCATTAATGCCACTGTCTATTACAGAAATATTTCCGTCTACCTATAAAGGCTATGAGCTTAGAAACGCTGATTTTAATCCCGCGGGTTAGAACGTCCCGTTACGGCAAACACTCACTTCGTTACTTCCGACCGTACTTATGGAGGAAGTTAAGCCAGCGATTGGGAGAAAACATCTTTAAACGATTTTAAACAAAGCATATAGAAACGAAACCTGACCGAATTGTTAAAAGACACCTGCGTGGACTGTAAAATCTGCTCATAAAATTAGATTTTAGCATTCTGTACATGTTTTGGCCATTTAAAAGTATTATTAGTATGTAAATAAGGCTCTATAGTTTTACATTTGAAATTTTACTCCAAATGTGTAAATAACTTGTATATTTATCTAAATTTTTTAGGTTAGGTAACTAAGTAGTGTCCCCAATTAGTTTTTACACTTGTAAAGCTAAATACATTGACGCTTGAATAAAGTTTTTTCTTTCTTTCTTTCTTTCTTTCAGCAACCCGTGTTAGCTCCTTACCATCGATATTCAGAGAGAGATTTGCACTTGCTAACCTAGAACCAGTACCAAATAGACCACATTCTGTTTTGCCTCGGAGAATAAAAAGACTATTGTGTACAATTAAGCCAATCATTGACCTTGGCAAGTTCACCGGTAAGGGTACTGACTGATTTCTTGGGCGTTACCAGCGGCGAAATACATAACTCAGTGTATCGTCAGCGTACATCAGAATCTAGCATCACTCTCAAACTATAGGAAGGTCATTGACAAAAACGACAAAGAGTAAAGGGCCAAGGATTGAACCTTGAGGGACACCCGATGTAATGAGACAAGGATCAGATATTTCTTTACCAAAACTCACGAGTTGTTTTCGATCTGTCAAGTAGTTTCGGAACCAGTCTAACTCAGTCTTTAAGTCCATTTGACTCTAGTTTGCTAATAAGTATTTCGTGATCAACAGAGTCAAATGCCTTGCGGAAGTCAAAAAATACCGCCCCAGTGAGCAATCGGAGGTCCATTCCACGCCGGATGTAATCTGAAAAGGCAATATCGGCAAATTCAGTTGAGTGGTTCCTTCTGAAGCCACACTGGCTGAGCAACTTATGTTCGTTTAGAAAGCTAAATAGTTGATGATGCACAACCCTCTCCAACCGGCTTTAAACACGACTGGTAAAACCGAAATTGGACGATAATTATCCATATCGATAGACAGTCCTTTCTTGAACAGTGGCATTATTTTTGCGTACTTCCACTCACTTGGAACTGTTCCCTGCGACAATGATTCATTTACAGTTCGAGTCAGCGGCCTAGCAACAACCACTGCAGCATCCTCCAACATACGCGGACATATATTGTCGAGACCGCCTCCTGGTTAGCTATATTAGATATATTAACCGCCTCCTGGTTAGCTCAATTGCATGGTAGAGCGCCAGACTGTTGTGCGGGAGGTCGAGGGTTCGGATCAAGCCCCATCCGGACCAACACTCAGGGTCTTAAAATGTGTAACTGAGGAGAATGTGCTACCTTTTCATATTAAGATAAAAAAATTGATAGATATTGTAGTCTTCTCGGATAATAAACCGCAAGTCCCGTCTCCTGCAGGGTTAGGGGTAGGGGACGTTAATTTCCACGCACGAGATCACTGTGTGGTGGATGTCCTCCCCTCGAATCATGATGAGATGGGTGGGTATATCTGCTGAAGATGGGCTGTATTGCCCATTGCAGATTAGACATTTAGATTTAGACCACTCGCCTCGCTTGCTTTGAGACCTAGAAGTATCTTATCAACAATCAGCGACTCATTCACCAAAGCAAATTTAATATTTGGCACTGATCCATTAAGTTTTCGATCAAGGCCTCCTTTTTTAAAAGAGACACTACCGAGAGTCCGCTGAACGCGTACAGCGGCTGAAGCCAAAAAATTATTGAAACTATTAGCAATTTTCTTTCCATCACTGGCTTCGCTACAAAGCACACCGTCAATATTGATATTTTTGGATCCGCCAGAGATCTTGTTCCCAGGAATCATCTTCTTCATTGTCCTCCAAAAGGCTTTGGTGTCATCTTTATGGTCATCAATTAACTTCTTGTTGTATGTTTGTTTAGCCTTCTATACTGAGTTTGTTTAGCCTTCTATACGATTTCGCATAGATTCGTACGCAAGCCAATCTTCGTCGGGGGATAACTTTCTCGCTTTTTTGAAAGGTAGTCACGTTGACGAAGGTCTTTCTTTATTTGGCCAGTCATCCATGGACAATTATCTACACCACGTACTCGCTTCTGGATAAGCGGGGCGTGACAATCAGCCACCAAAGTTGTCAACACAAATGACGTTCTCATTTACTGTCCCGGAGGAATTCATACCATCAACCCAATTAACACCTCTAAGGTCTTCACAAAACTTTGCAGGGTTGTATTTAGCATAATCCCTGAAAATCTTTGTTTCTGGGGAAGCTTTCATCCAATTTAACTTTCTTATGCAAAAAACCATATCGCTCAGACTCAAACTCAAAACCCTGCATTCTCTAATCATGGGTAGTGCGGAGAGTTCGTGATAATAATATCCAGAAGTGTTTTGGAGTATTGAGTGATGCAAGTGGGCTGATTTATGACTTGAGTAAGGATTTCTTGTCTCAGCAGCCGGCACTTTGAGTTGTTTATAGTCCGACTCTGTAGTCCGTTTTGGCAATCCGTTTTATTGAAATCGCCAGTAATGATCACCTCCTTATCCATAGCCATAGGACGCCTAAGACAGCTGTCAAATATAGGCATTAAGTGTTTGACCGCGTAATTTGAAGACGTTGGTGGCTTATAAAATATCCCAATTAGAAAGCTACGTGACTTTGGTGGGCAAACTTCGACCCAAGGACCCTCGATAGTCGATTCCTCAAGGTCGGGCCTACGTATAACTTTCACACCATTTCTTACGTACACTGCAAGGCCACCCCCTTTAGCTCCTCTCAGCGAAAAAGTTTATTGCCAGGAATCTCAAGCTCAGAGTCCGCAATATCTTCCTGTGTCCAGGTTTCAGAGAAACTAATAAACTGTAGACTCAGTCGAGCGTAGTTCGGAAGCGATGAGACGCAATTCATCAATCCTACCAGTTAGACTCCTGATTGCTGAGATGTCACTTAACTGCAGACCTCTCAAGTCTCACGATTTTGTCGTGAGACTCACGATTTTCAGTTCAATCTCACGGTCTCACGACGAGACAGACAAATCTCACGATAAATAGAGGCGCAAGCTGAAAGGATAATTTTTTTGTATAATTTCATTTTTGGCTTGCTAGAGGTGAGTTTTTTTGTGCCAATTCTGTGCAAATCCATAACAAACCAAGCTTTTTACGTTCTTCATCCGTCTGTTTGCTGGCAACACCGTGAGTCGTCCATGACCAGATATAGAACACCTGTTCCAAATTAGGTCATCATAACCAATCTCTCGCATTTTGACACGACACGTTATCAAAATGGCGGCAATTGATGAACCTGATGACTGTTCTATTGAAAGTTTATTTCTGTGTTGTTAAGGTCCACACATGTTTAAGTAAATTATGAGCAGGACAAAAAACACTTTCTCTTGATTTAACAACCTGTGTTTACTTGGTTTTGTCTGCCGGTCGTCCAATCTCCAGATTTTTTTAGATCAGTCTCCAGATTTTTGGTGTTTTGAGGTTGAGAGGTCTACTTAACTTCTGTGATAGACATAGGCCATTGTCTTCCTAGTTGTTCTCAATTTCATTAGTAGAATGATTCCGACAGGTGCACAAACTACTAGTACAGGATTTGTTAAAATTTAAGTCAAGCCCAAAGCATGTAAGATGGATCGACTTTAAACAAACCGAGGAGTCCGCAGAAGATTTATTTTTATTGATAATCTTTCTACATATGCCACACACATTCCTCGCTGCAGGCCCAGGATTAAGTTCAAGGTCACCAGCTAAGTAGATTAGACAAAGAGCAACACCAGACTGCTTGCAAAGCTCGAGTATCTTTGGGATAAAACATGGCCGTCGTTGGGATGGGTGAACGAAGACGGAGCGAAGTGTTCTTCCACCCTCTATCAGAGGAGTTTCGGACTGTCTATTCCCCACATAGAGCAGTGTTGATGTAGATACCATGGATTACTGTTTAAATCGGCTAAACAACACTAAAAGAAATAAAAAAAGCCGCTAAACCAACGGAGCGACCAACACGCCTGACCGACCGCCATTATGCTCGTTTTTTGAATAAAAGTTGTTGCTCTTTTTTATTGCATGCTTAAAAATAAGATGCAAAACAATTCCAAATTATATATTTATCGTTCGTAAAGCATAATATCTTTTTCACATTAAGTTAAGGACTGGTCATTACATAAACTAAAAATATTTCTGATCCAACAAATATTTTTGTTGCTGATCACGTGACCGAATACCCCTGATAAATGCTAGGGAGTATCCGAAGATATACCCTGAGTGATGCTCCCCAACTTTCAAACTGTACGTCCAATATGGAAAAATCTGCGCTAAAAATATAATCCAAGATGAGAAAGCATGGTGAGGTTGTAACATAAAAGTTAACCTGACACTTCATTGTTGATTTCATGACGTACAAAGCGCTTACTCCGCGTTCCAAGCAAACGGAGCAGGAGATCGTCCGGACAGTGAGCGATGTAGTCTGATTGTCCAGTTGATTATCAGCTCTTCTTTAATTTATAGAAATATTAATATGTGGGAAACCATCAAAGGTTTCCTTCGACGGCACAAAAGGAAATTTTTCATCACTGGAGCGGTTGTGGGTGGAGTTTACATGCTTAGTCGCTATGCAAGATGGCGTCTTGCAGAATGGCAAAGACAACAAGAAATGGAATACGTCGAACAGGCAAGAAAGCAACACCATTTTGAGAGTAATCAGAGGACTTGTGCCATTACGTTATTCTCCTTAGTGCCGAATTTACGTGATGTATTGATGGAGAAGCTAAACTGCGAGATAATAACCGGAAACCTTCGTGAACGGCCCTCCAACAAGTTAGAACTTTGGGAACAACTGAAAGTTATGAGTTTTACTCGTACGATAGCTTCCGTGTACTCATCATGCATGTTGTTTGTGTTCCTAAGAGTGCAGCTGAACATTGTTGGGGGGTACTTGTATTTAGATAGCTTGATGATGACAGGGGAAGCCTCAAATGGAAAAAATGAAAAGAAAGTACACATTGCTGAAGAACTGCAGAAGAGATACCTTGCTGTGGTCAGATACCTGATGGCTGATGGACTGGATTTCTTGATTGAAAAAATCAGGAGAACTGTAGAAGGTAAAACTAGTGTTTATTGGTCTTCTAATTTTTTACCTCTTTTTAAGCTGTCAAGGAAGATCATGATCAGAGAAGAGAACTATAAATTGGTCCTTTTACACGTATAGCTATAATTACTTACAACTTTCGAAAGGGCACTAAAAATGGATTTCATTCGCCCAAGTTCTTTCCTGGGAAGGTTTATATTTACAGTAAATGTAATACTATTGCAATACATTCCCTCAGTAGCCTGATTGATGGAAAATATGCAATTAATAAATTCATCACCAGTTACCTTATTACCTTATGCATGCTTTTCAGCTGATCTTTTCCAATATTTGCTAAGTACCAGTGTGGTACTTAGCAAAGGATTGGTGTGGCACAATTATTCCATGTGATGTTTTCTTGTTGATGGTGATGTCAGTATACCATCACTAAGGTCACTTTTTGTTCAGTTTATTAATTTGCCAGGTTCCTTTTGCATTGTGTCGTAAAACACTTCTCAATTATTATGGGTTGCTGAATTTTTCTAGTTCACTGAGGAAAATACGGATGTGAAGCTGATACATGAAAAAGTAATCTACTATATGATAATTTTCAAAAGCTGTTATGTCAATGTGTGAATCTCTTTTCAAATAGTTAGATGACAAGACTATAAACAGTTCCTCCTTTTCAGTGAAATGTGTTATGCAAGAAAAAAAAAATCAGTGAAAAAATTGATGTGAGCACACAGCAGGGAGCTCTTGGAGTGAGGTGCTCTTAAATTAGGGACTACAGACTAAGCTGAAGAGTTTGGCCTTGCACAGCTGAGTGATTTTCAGGCGTCAAATTTTAATCTCAATAAGGTGTAATCCATGGTATTTCTTAGGTTAATTCCCAATCAATCTTTATGTCATTGCACCACACAATTGATATTGTAGAACTAGATTATCTAAAATTTCAAGGTGCACAATAAACTAGAAATCTGCGAAATGTTTCATTGGGGATGAGTCTCACGAACAAAACTTCTAAGAAGATAGTTGGGAAGGGCAGGCTGGGATAGGAACCATCATTGAACAAATTTTGCCATGTTTCTGCTTGTGATTTGCTCTTGGCAATCCCAGAGTGCTTTACAAATCTCATGTCTAATGTTCAACATATGCTGGGCTCAGAATACAGAGTCATGGATGTTGACACTTAGAAATTGGTTGAGGTGGGCTGCTGGTCACAGTTCTCAAATAACCTCTGGAAATTTAACAAAAACACATGATGGTTGGCTTTGGCCTTGTTTTCAGCAATATGAACTTCAAGTGTCTCAGTATGCTCTGGTTTCAGGGAAGGAATGGTCAGAAACCACGATAAAGACTCTGGAAATTATTACCTATGATTGATCTGGAGTGTTGACATGTATAACAGCTTGTTGACAGATTTCCTGCCAATAGCCAATCATATTTTTGTAGTGTGAGTGTAGTGCAGAAGTCCAACTCTTTGGCTGAGTCTGTGGTCCTTAATTATTGAGTGCCTCACTGCAAGAACTCCCAGTGGCAAACTAACATAAATTTCTTTTTTTTTACTGAGTTTTTCACTTGCACAATTGACTTTGCTGAAAAGGAGGGACTATTCATAGTATATCAAATGATACCCTGAGATGCTGAAGTGCTGCTTGTTAAGATTAAACTTTGCTCTCTGCTGTTGCTGAGTGACTATTTTTTCACAATTTTATTTCAAATGATACACTGAGATGCTGAAGTTTAGTTTATTAGCTTCGCCGACAGGAAGGGACACCGCAACAGCGTGTGCCAATTACTGAGGGCCCAGTAAACCCACCCATCCCAGCCCAGGGGAGGACATCCATCACACAATAATCTCGTGTGTGGGAAATTAACGTCTCTTACCCCTAACCCTGCAGGAGAAAGGACCTCCATTTATTCATCCCTATCCGAGAAGACTAGAATATATAACCATTTCTTCATGAACTATAGAAAGGCAGCATATTCTTCTCAGTTACTTTAAGACCTTGAGTGTTGGTCCGGCCGGGGCTCGAACCCTTGACCTCCCACACAACAGTCCATCGCTCTATCGACTGAGCTAACCTCTTGGTTAGCTCAATCGATAGAGCACTGATTGTGAAAGTGCACCTAAACCCAAAAATTTTTTTTCGCTTAACAAAATAAGCTTATTTTTTGGAGTATTTCTGTGCAAAAATTTTTTAATTTGCTTAAATCTTAAATTTTCTGTGCCTAGTCAAAATACGGAAAATCGGCCACCATCTTGCCCCACGACCGAGTTTAAAGAGGAATGGCTCTAGCGGATAATGTGACGTCAAATCGAGAACACGAAAGTCTGCTTTTCACACATTTTTACTTGTTTGGGAAGGTTGTGGTCGATATTGTCCGAAATATGCCAACCAGGTGTGTTGTATGAGGAATGTATGAAGCGTGGTACCCTCTTGCAAATTTCGCACGTTGCTACATCCTCCTACGACACACTTAGTCGGCATGTTTTCGGACAAAATCGACTATAATCTTCCCAAACAAGCGAAAATGTGTGAAATGCAGACTTTCGTGTTCTCGATTTGACGTCACATTACCCGGCAGAGCCATTCCTCTTTAAACTCGGCCATGGGGCAAGATGGCGGCCGATTTTCGGTATTTTGACTGGGCTCAGACAATTGAGGATTTGAGCAAATAAAAGAATGTTTGCACAGAAATACTCCAAAGAATACGCTTATTTTGTTAAGCGAAAAAAAATTTTTGGGTTTAGGTGCACTTTAAGATTAAACTTTGCTCTCTGCTGTAACTAAGTGACTTTATTTTTTCACAATTTTATTTCAAATGATAGACTGAGATGCTGAAGTGCTGATTATTAAGATTAAACTTTGCTCTCTGCTGTAGCTAAGTGACTTTATTTTTTCATGATTTTATTCACCTTGTTTAACAGATATTTTAGGTGAGATATCATTGAAAGAAAAGTTCAGCCTTGTCGAACTTACACGACTCATCAACCACATACGACAGTCAATGGAGTTTCCAAAGCACAGTTTACCCATTAATAGCAAGTTACACGATGCCCCAAACCAGCCAGCTAAAAATGGTTGTCACATGAGACCACTCACAAAATTCATGCTGCCCACAGATGTTGAGAGTTTGTGTGATACAGTTGGTAAGGAAGGAGATGACAATTTCAAGGATTTAATAGGAGAAACTCTCGATATTTTGGAAAGTGAGGATTGTCTGTATGTGTTAAAGACGTGTCTAGATGCTGGCTTTGCTCATGTTTTGCACAGTATGATTCCCTTCTTTCAAGCTGAGGAGTTAGGTAAGTTCATAAGCCTCTACAGGCTTCTATAATAGACATGTAATATAATATCATGTATAGTATTAAGTTCACAAAACTAGAGTAAACATTTAATATATTAAAGTAGCCAGGAGGTACTGTTTGATGTAACTGACAATAACTTCATGTACTTTGAACCACTAAATTTCTGAAATGCGATTACATCATACTGCCCATCCACAACACAAATTTATCCTACAGCTCTTATGGTCACCCCATTATTGTAATGTAATGTAATCTTTACTTGTAATGTAATGTAATCTTTATTTAAACATGATTAATTCATCAGCCCATAAAAATACATATCACATGGGCTAAGATTTTTAAAATTCAAACTACATACTGTAACGCTAAAGCTGTTTTCTGTGAATGCCGTGCTTTAGACCTAAAGAATGTCATTGATCTTACATTTAAATACCCCCAGAGACTCTGTGTTCCTTATATCGCTGGTAGACTGTTCCATAATGTGGCACCATTGTAGCTAAAGCTTTTTCTATAATAATTAGTGTGCGGTAATGGAACATTGAGCTTATTTTCAGAGTCCCTGAGGTCATAAGCAAAGTCATGCCACGTAAACTTTGAATACAGATACCCTGGAGCTAGCCCATGCAGACATCTAAACATCAGGGTGGTATTATGGATTTCCTGCTGGCGTGCAAGATTTTTCCACCCTAAAAACTCGAGTAGCTCAGTTGCATCAGCATCATAGTTAGAGTATACTTGTACTCCGATCTAGAGTGAATTACTTTTGGTCTTAAACTTAGAAATCAATAGAGCGGTTTTCAAAAAGGCAGGAAAGATCCTTTCCTTTTTGTTTCAGTTTTTGTGCCTTTTGAAATCAGTTTTCAGTCATTAGTCAATCAAGACCAATCTCAGACAGTGAAATAAGATAGCATTATGTAAGAGAAATAATCACTATGGCCAAGTTGCTTATAAGTGTACTCCTGAATCACTCTTACATGCAATTAGTCCTGTGAGCAAACAGGTCATGGTCAATTCTGATTATTTCAGATTAAACAAGGTTTAATGAAAATCTTACAGTCAAACTAAGTGAACTGTATCCCTCAGGATTACATTAATGATTTGATTATTTGAATATTGAACCTGCGAATCATTTCAGGCGTGCAATAACAAATTGAATATTTGAACATGGAACCTGCTAACCCTTTCAAGAATGCAATAATGGATTGATTATTTGAATATTGAACCCGATAGCCGTATTCGTTTTAAAAAGGCGCGGATCATTGTTCAAATCAGAAGTCCATTTCTGATTGGATTATGCGAACACGTGGTGATGTATCGGAATGGCGTCAGACATGGCAGGAAAGGTGAGTTCGAGTGTTGTGTAGAACTTCTTGTAAATGTTGTAAATGGAATGTTATCAAGAGCTTTTTTTGCTTATTTACATCTTGACGAACTTGTAGAAATTCTTGTGTGTATTCATGGTCGAAAAAAATAG